CTTTGAGAGCTCTATTTCTGTTCACACATTTTTTCAAAAAGAGGTAACCACAAAGCGATATTTAACTGAAAATACTAGGGAAATGTTTACTCAGAATGTTTCTTCCACACTTGCCCCTGCTAACATCTCAGTAAATGAGCTAGTAGATCATTTTAATTCAAAAATAAAAAATGTTATAGATGCCATTGCTCCAACTAAGGTAAAGGAAGTGACTGGCAAGAAAATATCTCCATGGAGAAAGGCCATGACCGTGAAAACAGAAAAAAGAGAATGTCGAAAAGCTGAACGCAGGTGGCGAAAAACAAATCTCCAGGTTCACTTTGAAATCTATAAAGAGAGACTTGGCCTTTATAATTTGGAATTGAAAAACGCACGACAATCGTTCTTCTCTGACATCATTACCAAAAACAAAAACAACGCACGTGCCTTGTTTGCTACCGTCGACAGACTAACTAACCCCCCAGTGTCAGTAGCCTCTGAATTTCTATCCACCAGGGCGTGAAATGACTTTGCCTTTTTCACTGACAAAATTCAGAAAATCAGACAAGCAGTCAGTGCCTCTGCATCAGGAACAGCAAATGTGTTGTCTCTGTGTCCACTTAACATCAATTCAAACACCATGACACAATTCCATCAGATTAATGATAAAAACCTAGAGGACATTATTCAACTTCTGAAATCCTCCTCCTGCTGCCTTGATATTATTCCAACAGGATTTTTTTCAAAGATGTTTTTCCTTGCATGGCCTCAGATCTACTTCATATAGTAAAATCTCTTCACTCAGGTGTTTTTCCACAGGCCCTGAAAACTGCAGTCATTAAACCGCTCTTAAAAAAGAATAATCTAGATGCTTCAGTAATGAACAATTACAGGCCCATATCAAACATGCCATTTCTAGGTAAAATCATTGAAAAAGTTGTTTTTCAATGGTTGAGTAATTTCTTGCATTTAAATAACTGTTTTGATGTGTTCCAGTCAGGCTTTCGTCCAAACCACAGCACTGAGACTGCTCTTGTAAAGGTCTTCAATGACATCCACTTAAACACAGACAGTGGCAGAACTTCAGTGTTAGTATTATTAGATCTCAGTGCTGCGTTTGACACCGTTGACCACAGCATATTACTAGACCGACTGGAAAACTGGGTGGGACTTTCGGAAACAGTTCTTAATTGGTTTGAATCCTACTTAAAGGACAGAAACACTTTGTTTCTATCGGTAAATACACATCTGAGTTGACAAATATGACATGTGGGGTACCTCAAGGCTCCATCTTGGGGCCTCTTCTCTTTAACATCTACATGCTACCACTGGCTCAGATAATGAAGAACAACAAAATAAGTTACCATAGCTATGCAGATGACACACAAATTTACGTAACAATTTCACCAGGAGACTATGCTCCAATTCAAACACTGAGTAAGTGCATTGAACAAATCAATGACTGGATGTGTCAGAACTTTCTCCAATTAAACAAAGATAAAACTGAGGTAATGGTTTTTGGAGCCAAGGCAGAATGTATAAAAGTTATCGCTGAGCTTCAGTGTGCAATGTTCAAAACAATAGATAAAGCCAGAAATCTAGGTGTAGTCATGGACTCTGACCTGAGTTTCAACAGTCACATTAAAACAGTTACTAAATCAGCCTACTGTCACCTAAAGAACATATCTAGGATTAAAAGACTAATGTCACAGCAGGATTTGGAAAGACTTGTCCATGCTTTTATCTTCAGTAGACTGGACTACTGTAATGGTGTCTTCACAGGTCTCACTAAAAAATCTATTAGAAAGCTGCAGCTAATTCAGAACGCTGCTGCTCGAGTCCTCACTAACACTAAGAAAGTGGATCACATCACTCCTGTTCTGAAGTCTTTACACTGGTCTCCTGCAGGAGAGGACTCTTTAAAGTAGAGGCACTACATACTGATATACACCTGAACGTCAGCAGGAGAGGACTCTTTAAAGTAGAGACACTACATACTGATATACACCTGAACATCAGCAGGAGAGGACTCTTTAAAGTAGAGACACTACATACTGATATACACCTGAACATCAGCAGGAGAGGACTCTTTAAAGTAGAGACACTACATACTGATATACACCTGAACATCAGCAGGAGAGGACTCTTTAAAGTAGAGATACAACATACTGATATACACCTGAACATCAGCAGGAGAGGACTCTTTAAAGTAGAGACACTACATACTGATATACACCTGAACATCAGCGGGAGAGGACTCTTTAAAGTAGAGACACTACATACTGATATACACCTGAACATCAGCGGGAGAGGGACTCTTTAAAGTAGAGACACTACATACTGATATACACCTGAACATCAGCAGGAGAGGACTCTTTAAAGTAGAGACACTACATACTGATATACACCTGAACATCAGCAGGAGAGGACTCTTTAAAGTAGAGATACAACATACTGATATACATTACATTACATTGCATTTAGCTGACGCTTTTATCCAAAGCGACTTGCAATAAGTGCGTTCGACCAACAAAATACAAACTTGAGGAAAACAGAATCATATAAGTACATCAGGCTTTAGATAAGCCAGCCCTTTATTAGTAGGCCTATATAAGTGCTTTGTTAATAGTTCTATCGCTCGAAGTGGAGTCGAAAGAGATGAGTTTTCAGTCTGCGCCGGAACATCAGCAGGAGAGGACTCTTTAAAGTACACATTATGATGCGTTCAGGTTCTTTTTTTGTAAAAATCTGCTCGGCACACTCTCCAATCACAGAGTTTAAGGACTATCACGGGGTTTGTCAAGCGAAGCGGATAGAATACTTACTTCCGGGTGTAATATTCTGTAAAGCAAATGAGCTGCTCCGACCCTCGGTCCTGACGGACTCCAACTTGTGTTTATTAATCAAACAAATAAATAAACACAAGGATAATTATGTGTTATTGTTGAGTAAATGGAGAATTGCACAGGGGAAAATAACGTATCTATGCCACAGTTTTAGATGCGGATTTTGTTAAACTAATACGTTTGCGCTGTGGACCAACACTATACATTGACGGGGAAGGGGGTAGCAATAAAGATTACACCATTAAACTGTTACACAACATAACAGAAATAATATCGATAGCAGCGTCACTAGCAACCACCTTGGTAACAATGAAAACGTTGTATCGACACAATTTCCTGAAGTAATCTTCGTAATAACTGGCAAACTAAAGATCATGTACATCCACTGCACACATAATCTGAAATAACAACTCATATTTCTTGCATCAAATGACATCAAAACGCATTTTAATGGCCAAACTAACTTTAAAATAGGCATTTTACACCGAGAATAAAACGAAGTTCGGCCATGTTTTTTTTTCTGCAGGGAGAAATGTGAAGATCACGTGACAAAGACGCCAGCCATTGGAATGAATGGTGAAAAAAAACGTAGGGATTTTACAATTTCAGAGGCGTTTTTGTAGAAATACTACGTCCTATGTTGTGGACCAACGTAGTTATTACACGTTTTTTTACGAGACTGGGTTGAACACACTTGTTAGTTTATCTACTCTGGAACTAGCTAAACTATATATACATAGGTGTATTATTTACTGTCGGGTCACTTATTAGTTACAGGTTCAGCGAGCTGCACGAGACTGACGGGCTGTCAGGAGAGGGAGAGGAAAAGAGAACACCCCGTTTATTTTTCCCATTATATTATCCAGAATTGCTGTAAACCTTTGAATAAAGTAGTTAATCTACTATTAGTAGTTTGTTTAAATGCATTACTTATGTTGTTTTTTTCATTAACATAAAATAAATCTCACGTACCCCCTGCAGTACTCCAACGTACCCCTAGGGGTCCACATACCCACATTTCAGAACCACCGATCTAGGACAGATGTGTCAAACTCAAGGCCCGGGGGGAAAATCAGGCCCTTGGTGGATTTAATTTCGGCCCGCAGGATCATTTTTAATTACTATTAGATCTGGCCCGCCGGTATATTGCACGCACACCTTCACTCCATCCTGAGGATCTCCTCAGCTCAGAGCCTGACCCCAAACATTGATGAGCTTGCAAAAAAAAGAGGTGACGTTCTGGGGCAGCATAGACAGGTATTTTCTGTGTTAGTGTATTTTCTTTGAGGGTTTTTGACTCTGCAGACCGTTTACATGGATAAAAACCTTCATAACACACAAGGGGATGGGTAATAACTGGAAAAGCATGACATGGGACCTTTAAACAACAGAGCATGTTTTATAAAATAGTACTAGGCCTACTGACAAAACACATCTTATCCTTTCAGCATGTATTCTCTAGGAATAAAACATAAAAACACTGAAGTTTATTCCAATACGAAAAATGTTACGGAGTAAATCATTTATTTCGTTCTTCCACTTAAAACTAGACGAAACGCAGAATAATTGAAATTACGTCAGCCTTGCGCATCCGCGCACAACATTGTATTATTATTTTAATGTTTTATTGTATTTTGTCTTTATTTTTACCGTGTGTGAATCCTGTTTTTAACTCTGACCCTGTTGCTGCTATAAACGCCTGAAATTCACCAAGGAGATAAATAAAGTTCCCTCTTATCTTATCTTCTATGGCTAAAATATACCTGTTAATGGATGTGTGCGTGTTTTTTGATAATAATAATAAAATCATGCAAGCAAGACAGGATTTAGTTAAATTGACTTATGGTCTAATTAATAATTAGCAGTGTGTTTCTTTGCTTTTCTGTGAATATGAACAGGATCAAAATTAGTTAATTAATTCAACCCATTGCCACTGAGGATTAGGAATAGCCTCTGACTCGCTGATTCAATACATGCTGAATGAAGTTCATGTTAAACCGTGTTATTATGTAATTCCTTAAATGTATTTAAATCACTCCAAACTGTTGATTGTATTATTTTCATTGTGTTGTCAATCACCGCTCTGGTCCCGCCCACTTAACCTTATATCCTAGCAACGACTTTCTCCGCTCTCTTCTCATTGGTCGATTTCTGGACTTCCGCCATATTCAAAAAAAGTCACTTGTCTCCGCTGTTGTAGTAGATAAGTAGAATAGATGTGTTGTTGTTATTCTGTTAAACCCATTCAGTAGCAGGTAACAACTTTAACATGTCAAATGGGAGAAACCGGTGAAGCTCCAGAGAAACTAAAAAGACAACAAAGCTCCAGAAACTGGAGGAGGAAGTTTTCTGTTGATGAAGAAGAGTCTCCCTTCGAGAAAAACAGCAGCAGTCTGAGACGGTAAGTGCTTATTTAACAAATCTCCAGTGATACACCGAAAAACAAACCGCCATTGCCAAAAACAGTCTATTAGTCCGGTTACAGTTGAGCTAAAGGTGGCTAGCATGCTAAAGTCTGACACATTGTGGCAGTAAATTCAAGTTACTTAGCTGTGTATCGTCTTTAAACTAAGGGTTTTAATGTCATAAATAAGCAAGTGAGTATACCTTTTGTTTATCAACCTACCAAATAATCCACATCCATCCATACGATGAGTTTTATGTAGTTTAAAACAGTTTGCAGATGTTGTAGTTGCGTCAAAACGCCACTAGGTGTCAGCAGTGCGCCACTAAATGAAGAGCTGGTTGTAGGTTGTGTCTTTTTCTATTGTATTTAATTTCCTGTTGCTTGTAACACATTATTTATAGTTAATTATCTCCACAAAAAATAATTGTATTATCTGTATTGGTTTATTTTCAGTCGTGTGCTTATAATTCACTTTTGAAATTGATGTATTTCTGTGTTGTTTCTGTCTATATCAGCTGGTAACCATATATTGTTGTGTTAACTTAAATATATGTTCAAACAGGATTAGATAAGTAAACCACAGAAAAAAGCTTGTCTATAAAAATCCATACTTGCACAACAACGGTTACTATACTCTATGTCACTGTGGGGAAAAAACCCTCAAATTTAAAGGAAAAATAAATTGGGTAACACTTTATTTTGATAGTCTATCAGTTGACACTCTATACATTGACATTCAGTAGCATGTCAACAGTGCATCAGTTGACATTCAACAGCACTTTTCAAACAGACAAGTAACATGTTTTTTGCAACAGGTTATTAACCACTCTTCAACCTTACTATCTGTAGATTGTAGATTTTGAGTTGTTGATTGTCAATTTAGAATTAAAATCTATAGATCAACACTTGAGATGTACCTTATGGCAGTTAGTTGAATGCCTGTTACTTGTCTGTTGAAACAGTGTTGTTGAATGTCAACTGATGACTTATAGGGGGAGGCTGTGGCTCAGCGGGTAGTGTGCTGGACTTCGAATCAGGGGATAGCAAGTTCGAGTCCCACTGCAGTCAGCATGCCGTTGTGTCCCTGGGCAAGACACTTGAGTATGTAAGTCGCTTTGGATAAAAGCGTCTAACAAATGACATGTAATGTAATGTAATAGTGTCAACAGATGGACTATCAAAATAAAGTGTTACCATAAATCGTACGAATAACTGTAACTTTGGAAGTTATCCACTTAGTCTGACTCCAGTTTTTATCATATGAAGCTCAATTGTAGGTTGCATTTAGGCACAAAACCATAGATTTGACCCCAATCTCTACCACATATTCCCATGTAAAATCCCTAAGAATTAATTTAAAATAATGACAGTTCGCTATGGGTGAACTTTCCTTATTTGAACAGTAACAATTGTTGCTCTGCAGTGTTTTTTTTAACCCTATCTCTCTATGTAGTTTTTGAGATTCTGCATCCAGGCAACCCAAACACTTGTCTCTTTCATTTCTTCAATCTATTGCCCACAAATGTGACCAGTACTTGAAAGGTGCTCATTTGAATCAGTCAAATTAGATTATCTTGTGAGTTCTCAGACTGGCGGCCAACTTCAATAACAGTAATCAGTATGCTTTGGTATAATAAACCCCTGCCATAGTTTACATTGGACTCCTTTCAAAGGCTTTCCATGTTGTGTGCCAGCCCTGCCCAGTGCTAACCGACTCTGCAGACAAACATGGAAAAACATCACCCAATAGTTGACCTCTGGAACAATGTTTACGGAAAAAAACATCGGCTTTGACTGCAGAGAAAATATTACCAGTGACATTTGCATTTCGTTCTACACTGGCAGGGAGATTTTCTTTATTATTAGCTTGTTAAAGGCAGCAATGCAGAATTCTACAGAATGGTTCAAAACTTGTGAACTCCACATTATAAGTTCATTGTGCTTGTAAATCGTCAGAAAAGTACATTGAATGCTGGGACACTGATTTTTAGGGTGGGTTTTGGCCTCATTAAAAAATCAAATATGTTTTTCACTTCATAGAACACTTAATAAAACATGTAAGTGAGGTCTTACCGTCATACAAATCATGATATTAACTGAGTGTTTGTGCGTGCCTTCTTAATACCAGTACAAAAGGACATGTGGGGTCAAACTGTCAGTTGTAGAATGTTCTAGCAAAATGGCTACTAGCATGCTAACCCCCTAGCTTATTAGCAACACTTCCCTCAACATACTGAACCAGGTAAAGTGTCAAAAGGCCGTTGTCCCCTGGGTTGGTACAGTGATGAATATTCAGAGACAATTCATTAACGCGTTAGACAGACTATCAGCTTTCAGAGTAGATCATATCATGGGTAACAGGATAGTCTTCATCCGACGGTGAGTCACGTTATGAGGACAAATGTTTTTATGAACTGATAGATTTCTCAGATGTCTTCCTTACATGAGTTTCATAGCTGCATAGTTTCACAGGAGCAGGGACAGATGTGAAGATGGGGGATACCAAATAGCAATCGGAGTATTTTACCCCAGTAGATAGATAAATATCTACTGGGGTAAAATCATGTCTTTGACGGTTTTGATGTTTTGACGTGTGATAATTTCATTTCAGATTTTTCTAGATCATATTTCATTGCCTCGGCTCTCAGCTCATCAACGCTTGGTGACTTCCCAACACTCTTGTTACATAAACCCTCGTCTGCTCGCTCTATAAATTGTTGAGATAAAGCAGTGAGGAGTCACTGGGCGGAAGACCGGTTTAGATGAATCGCTGCAGGCTCTCATCTCCTGTGAGATTCCCAGGAAGGGCTGAGAAGTGTGTGTGTGTGTGTGTGTGTGTGTGTGTGTGTGTGTGTGTGTGTGTGTGTGTGTGTGTGTGTGTGTGTGTGTGTGTGTGTGTGTGTGTGTGTGTGTGTGTGTGTGTGTGTGTGTGTGTGTGTGTGTGTGTGTTGATGCTTGTCATTTTTGCAGCCATGAGGCACAATGACTGCTCTGCAGAAGCCTCAGCTTTCCCATCAGCCAAACCTTAAAGTTACTGTCACTATATTACAATAACACTTGAATAGCTACACAACACCCAGTTATTGAGACATCCTAACTCCTCCTGTGATAGATAGATAGATAGATAGATAGATAGATAGATAGATAGATAGATAGATAGATAGATAACTTAATTTATACCGTACATTTTTGTCTTGACAATCATTGTGCAAGAAGTACATAAATGTCTTAGAAATAGAATAAAACATGAATAAAATAAACATTCAAAGCAAATATATACATTATCACAGTAGAAAATACATATTCAGATGGGTATCTACACACTATCAAATATACAGAATACATTTGAATACTGTCCAATATACTGATCTACTTAAAGGACAGAAACATATACACATAGCGTATATACAGTGGCTGCGAGGGAGTGTGGTCGTCTTTCAACCAGAAGGTTATGGGTTCGATCCCATCCTGTGTAGCCAACATGTCGATGTATCCCCCCACGGTGTGTAAATGTGTGTGAATGTTAGGTCCTAGAGTAAGGTACACTGCTCTGTATGAATGGGTGAATGACATGTAGTATGTAAAGTGCTTTGAGGGGTCTTAAAGACTGGATAAAGCGCTATATAAGTACAGTCCATTTACCATTTACACATAGTCTACTATAAACACTTGTGCAACAGTAGCTTGTGAGGTAGTGTAATAAAAACAATAGTACAGTATGTGCAAGGTGTTCTTGATTATACGCTGTGTCAGCTGATTTCCGTACGTAGGATGATTTCAATAGAAGTTATTACGCAAGAGCTATTAGCAAAGAAGGGGCCAACCTTGAAACTGAGTTTATTTCCCAACCCCATCCATCGCCTCCTGCAAGTTTAAAGAGGCCCTATTATTCTTTTGGGGGTTTTCCCTTTCCTGTACTGTAGGTTTGTGTGCATGTAAATGGTCTGCAAAGGGTGAAATTCTCCAAGTTTCTACCGCCTGAAACGCCTGCATTGGACTCCTGAACATATTGACACACTTGCGCTTCTATTGGCTCACATTGTACGTCATAGGCTAAGGGGCGGGACATCTCTAAGTGGTTGACCAATCACATCAGAGCCGGTCAGCATAACCATATTTTAACCATAAAATAAAGAACTTTTTGAACATTAAAGCATGGAAACATAAAATGGAGGCACAAAATACAAATATGAACCTCAAAATAAGCAGAATATGGCTTTTATTAACTTTTCAAATGTCCAAATTGAAGACACTTAGACAGGACATACTGCTCTGTAAGAGATAAGATAGGAATGCATAAAAGAATGGCAAAATTAAAAAGACTAGAATTAAACAAGAAAGTAGAAAATATACATGTTGAATTTACAAATTAACAATAACAAAATATAAAGCAAGTTATTATATATATATAAGTACAGGAGTGTCAAGTGAACTTAGCACCATGACAGTTAACTCTGAACACCACCTGTAGTGACCTTTGACCCCTGACCTGTCTGCAGGACACCCAGGGAGTCATTTCCCAAATCTCTTTCTGCTATTCCACGACACATGCTGCTTATTTAAAACACCCTACAGTAGCATGCGTTTCCAGCATGGGTGGTCCCGACAGGAACTCTCAACCTGACTGAGTTCATTAGTGCGTTCAGCGCCACTTAGCTCCGCAGGACCTGTTTGCGCCTTTGTTCTCTTTTATTGGCTCTTTAGTCAAACATGCCTGATGTCGTTTAGTTTAATAGGCTACAGTGGTTTTAACACTTTTGATTTGTGGTTCTTTATTACTGGGGTTTCTCACTAAGCTTACCAGAGATCACTGTTTGTCGAATATAGCCATTTTGGATGTTCAAAGTTAATCCAGCTTCCCGTTTCTGTCGCACACTGCTCTATAGCAACTGCAAGGTGTATAATGCAAGTTCATTATCTTAAAATATTATATTAAGCCCTTTAAAGGTGGGGTAGGTCATTTTGGAGAAACCAGCTCGAGTGCGCTAGAATTTGAAAATACACAGCCGGAACAAATCTGCCACTTCCGTACAGAGCCCCTCCTCTAACACACACGAACGCGCACATGACCAATGAGTGCACGAGGTAAATTTGTGCACAGATTACCGCTTCCACAGATGACACTTAAGATATTCATTGCTATCGGGATGTTAAGAGCAATCCATGGAATATAACAAAAGGTGTATCTCGAGCCGGCTTCTCAAACTTACCTACCCCACCTTTAAGGGATATTTGTAATATTTGTATTAAGAGTTATCCACAGGCTTGGTATTTCTTGCACAGACTGATGACCTCCAGCTATAACTACCATCTTGATTTGTATTTTTACATTATCATAGAACCAGATGCAGTAGAGGAACTTATTGCAGAAGTCTGTCTGTATTTAACTGCACAAATCTATAGATGGGACTTGTTGTATTTTAACAGCTTGATTCTACATTAATGCCTAAATAGAGTCTTTCTTAGTATAGCATTCCTACCAATTCAAGTTCATTTCTAAACACAGACATTATTTGACCAAAATTTCTCTGATTTCTCCGGTTCATTCAAATCTTCCCAGACACATTGATCTGCACTAATTGTTATAAGCGTTATAATAGGAATATTACAAATGATAATTAGATCTGTAGTGATTAGTAGACTAAGACGAGTGCAGCTGCCTGTAGTGCTGACTATAGAGGGACAGTTGTCTGTGTCACTGGACCGAGGCCAACTGGAGCGACAGTAGTAGCGCTGCACTATAACTGCCTATCAGCCTTACGAGCAGCACTTGTTGAACACACACACACACACACACACACACACACACACACACAGAACAAGTGTTTCTGAGCAGCTCTGCATTCTCCGCATGCTGGAGCCTTTTTAGGTCGCGCCTGCTAAGACCCCCACGACGTCGTATATCTTCAATATTATCAACTGTTCTGACAGCATTTATAATAATGTGAAGGATTTGGTTATGAATACCGAGCAACACGGGAGGTTTTGATTCATCAGGATGTCATGTCGGCTGAGTGTGATGCACTATTGTTGAGTTCAGTCTAACAAACTCCACAATGTCTTTAATATTTTGTCTTTTTGGTGCATTTTCATAGGATTCAAGTGTGTATGCATGATTAGGAATGAAGTATGCTGTCAGTTTTTAGAAGGATCAATGCTTCATCAATGAAGAGCCATCATGATAAAATCTTTTAACCCTTATGTTGTGTTCGGGTCTCCCGTGACCCGTTTCAAGTTAAAATGATATAATAACTACGCTCTAGTGTTTTTTATCGGAACAAGGCTTCATGATATCCTCCACAACAACAATTGTAGCCAAGTCTGAAGGTCTCTAAAAAAAAAGTGTATCATTTGGTGTTCGTGTCTGGGGAGACCCGGCAGAATTGTTGTGGGTGACTCGGGGTCAAATTTGGCCCAATCAAGATTCATCTTTGACTTTAGACACCCCTCCCCCCCCTTCATCCACTGTAACAATACTTTTTCGCAACATGCACCTGGTCTCCCCTCCCTCTGCCCCCCTCCCCCCATGGGAACTCCACCTTTCACAAAGAATATGTGCACTAACACTTGAACCTGAACACACACATGTGCAATATGTGGTGTAATGTGTTTTGGGGCCATAACATTAAATAACAACAGGATTGTGCGGTTATGAATGCATTATAAGTTAGTTATGATGTAGTTAAAACAATATTGGATGATAGTAATTTTTTGAGTGTTTTGGACTGAAATAAATCATGGGTCAAAACTGACCCGCGAACACCATGAACGGTAACAGCTTTTGAACACAACACAAGGGTTAACATCTTTCTGCAGAATCTGTGTCGAGGCTTTCTGAGTTTCATAACCTTCCCAGTAGCTTCCCAAACATGGTCATGCGTCAACAGAATTCCAAATGATTGTTGCCACACGACAGATCTTAAGCTTTGATGTTGTTCTGCTTCCAATCACTGAGCTGGATGTGTTGTGTAATTGTCCTCCAGTGGGGCCTTATCCGGAAAAGCTCTGTTGTAACACTTTAATAATCACAAAGGTTGAAGAAAAAACTGTTTGGCATGAGAGGCATTCACAGTATGTGGGCTGCTCTAGGGGGGGTGTTTTAATTTGGGAAAATCCCACTGTGGAATCCCAAAAAAGGCAAAGCTGTCCCCTTCCAGAAAGTCCCAACAACTAGAGACATTTGGTAGAGGACTCCTCCTTCAAATCTCACAGGGGTCATAGCTCAAAGAACAACTTGGAAGGGGCTTTTTTTTGAGGCCGTGATTTGAGGTCATGTTTCCTGACAGAGAGGATAATTATCTGGTCTGAGATCAGCGCTTCAGCTACACCATGCTGAGTCTGTGGTAGGTTATGAATGTTTTCTAAGGAAACCACGAGTCACAGTTCCCCTCTTATCACCCTACGGATGCTCACTAAGTCACCGGCTTTACTCACTCTTAGCTTGGGTCAGAGTGGTCTCCACTGGGGGTTTAAATCAATCTTACGGTTGTCTCTGAGTCATGATTATTCACAGTGTTGTTGGGTTTTTAGGGATTAAGTTGGAATTGGTTGTTACAGCACGCTGAACAGGCCCTGTAGATGTTGGTTTTTAAAGTGGAGGATGCATTGCAGTTCTTTTGTAATCTTGACCCTTCCCTATTGTTGTCATTCAGGTCACTTCGTAGAGGAAGCTCCTTCTCCTTCCTCACGCCTAGACCACAATGGGACTTCAGTCTGGTGAGTACAGCAGGGCTACGGACAAAATGTTATCTCAATTTCTTTTTGAACTTCAGAGTGTATTTATTTTTTATAGATCACATTTTTATTGAATTTTCCATTCAGAACAAAGAAACATTGGCGTACATTGCATAAACAAATCCCTCTCCCCCATTGGTCCTGGCATTGACATTAAAAGACATGGCATGGATAAAATAATAATAATAACAAAATAGAAAATTAGGTACATCAGCAATGGAAAAGAAAAAGTGTCCAATTCTTGATAAACATTCAAATTAAATAGTCTCCATCTATTTATGTGTGTCCAGAAACGCTCCCAAGGTGTATCCTCAGCATTTTCAAAGCCTTTCATCCTAGTGAGCATAGCCTCATAGCATTAACCCATTCCTCATTAACCCATTCCTACATATGTCTATTCTCCAATGCCTCAATATAATCCTTGAAGCTGTAATCAAAGCAACCATTATAACAGAGTTCATGTGTATTTATTCAAATGAATGGCGAGTATTCTCCGTGCGAAATAACCCCAAAGAAACCAGATTGTTCATCATGCATCGTTGAGGGTTGAACAGTATTTACTACACTTCTTGTTTGCAATGTCACACAGTAATGTATCCGCTGTTTAAGATCTGTAACGACGATTAAGCAACATAGTAGGCTAGAATTATTGGTTGTTCGGTTGTAGGATTAGATTATAGTCATGGGAAATAAATCTCCTAACTTTATCAGATCATATCATGCAACTATTTTAAGATCGTTTTATCAGCCGTCCCTAATATAGGCCTCATATTCTCCAGTTTGCAGGTCATATTAGGCCGCCTGCATAACAGGAAAATACAGTTTGGCAAGTTTATAATGGCAAAAGTACACACATCCTTTACTCAAGTAGAAGTACAGATACTCGTATTTAAAAATACTCTGGTAAAAGTAGAAGCACTGACTAAACTTCTTTACTCAAGTAAAAGTAAAGAAGTATGGTTTGAAATGTACTTAAGTAAAAAGTACCCATAACTACCATCTGTTTTAAAGAGTAACTGACCTCATTGTTAGCTAATGAATGTTTCGATGCTGAACAACGGCAACATGACAACGTTTTCATTGGACCCTCTTCTTTAAGCCATCGGGTGTCAATTTCGGGACAGTGTGACGCGACACTGTCCCGAAATTGACACCCGATGGACACACGATAAAGGAAATGTTCAAATTCGGCTCTGATCGTAGCAACATCGGGCCATTCGTGAGGGCATCTTAAGCCATCGTATGACCGCTGGTGGAGATTCTCAGGCTCCGGCGGCAACTTCGTGAGCGGTGGCAAAATCTTATGCCTAAAAATTGACGAAAGACCTTGCCAAGGTTAATTTTTGTGTTGAATTTGTGCGTCCATTTTGCCCTTCGTAAGGCCAGCGTGAGGGCATCTTGTCAAATCGTGTCATCTTCGTCTTTACTTCGTGTGATCATCGGTGCCATCGGGCATTTTTCGCCTCACGAAGACAATACGAAGGAAACAAGAATCTGCCCGATTGTCTTAGGAAGGCAACATGACTACGTGAAGCCCTCGCAATGCCGTCGTGTAGCCCTCGTATTATTGTACGATGACATCGAGATTGCATTTATTGCACAACAAAATCATGTAAACATATTATGTAAATAACCCAATTTGTGTTCTGTGAAACTGAAAAGGATATTACATTGTTTTTGTTACTTTCGTTGTAGCTGTATGTCTTAAATATAATTTAGTTTAACTTCCTGTTTTATTTAGATGCTTTTATTTTTGAAGGCGAGTTTATGCTGTTGACAGGAAGTTGTTGTTGCTATGGAAACAACATGACGGAGTGTGTGGTTCGGGTGCCATCGTGTGGCCTTCTGTAGGCATCGTACTTGCTTCGGCTGTTGCTTGGCTGTTGACCAAGTTCGGGGCCATCTTCGTGCGAAATTCACAATTCCATATTTGTGTGTCCATCCGGTGTCAATGTCGGGACAGTGTGACGCCAGCCAAGACCAGGAAATGATGGATACACGGATCGTGTTCAAATCAATAGGCACGCAATGACTCTAAATAATAATGATCACGCATCAAACACACATTCAAACTAAAGGAACCAGCTGTTTGGAAAATGAGAGAAGTAGAAAGTACAGGTATTTGGGTTCAACATGTAAGAAGTAGAAAGTACAGGTATTTGAGTTCAACATGTAAGAAGTAGAAAGTACAGGTATTTGTGTTCAACATGAGAGAAGTAGAAAGTACAGGTATTTGAGTTCAACATGTAAGAAGTAGAAAGTACAGGTATTTAAGTTCAACATGTAAGAAGTAGAAAGTACAGGTATTTGTGTTCAACATGAGAGAAGTAGAAAGTACAGGTATTTGAGTTCAACATGTAAGAAGTAGAAAGTACAGGTATTTGAGTTCAACATGTAAGAAGTAGAAAGTACAGGTATTTGTGTTCAACATGAGAGAAGTAGAAAGTACAGGTATTTGAGTTCAACATGTAAGAAGTAGAAAGTACTGGTATTTGAGTTCAACATGTAAGAAGTAGAAAGTACAGGTATTTGTGTTCAACATGTAAGAAGTAGAAAGTACAGGTATTTGTGTTCAACATGTAAGAAGTAGAAAGTACAGGTGTTTGTGTTCAACATGTAAGAAGTAGAAAGTACAGGTACTTGTGTTCAACATGTAAGAAGTAGAAAGTACAGGTATTTGAGTTCAACATGTAAGAAGTAGAAAGTACAGGTATTTGAGTTCAACATGTAAGAAGTAGAAAGTACAGGTATTTGAGTTCAACATGTAAGAAGTAGAAAGTACAGGTATTTGGGTTCAACATGTAAGAAGTAGAAAGTACAGGTATTTGTGTTCAACATGTAAGAAGTAGAAAGTACAGGTATTTGGGTTTAATATGTAAGAAGTAGAAAGTACAGGTATTTGTGTTCAACATGTAAGAAGTCAAAGTAAAAAGCCAAACATGTGGGGTAAAGTACTGATGCCAGAAACATGTACTTAAGTACAGTAACGAAGTATTTGTACTCCACTACCTCCCACCTCTGTTTATAAGTAATATAAATAACCTAAAGCCGAGTGGTGAGTGTCATTACTGAAACATGTGCAGGGAGGTCCGTAGCAAAGGGTGCCAAGAAGCAGGAGATTGACCTACCTTTACTGACTTCATACAGAATATACAGATGTTTGCATTCTGTAAACACATTCAACATCTGCACATTTCTCCGAGCTGGCTCACTTCTGTCCCGTAATGCAAACTGGGACTGCACTTGAGCAACGATTCCCGACACTCTGTTGTGTTTTGGTTTTAAATCTCCCCTCTGAGTTTTCATCTTGGAATTGGTAGCACTGTTCTTTGTCACAGCGATGGCGGGGGAACCGTTGTTGGCTCGGAGCCACCGTAAACCAGTAAAGCATCCCGACTGGAGGACAAATGTCTTATTTACTTTACCGTCCGTGAGCATATCAAGCATTTTGCGCAATACAAAAGTTCCTTATATTGTCAATCCCTGGGCTTCATCTGGCAACTCTTTTGTTGTTACCGTTTCTTTAAGTCATTCGGTTGAAAAGTTATCCAAAAGGGTGAAAGTGGGGGTTTCGCAGCGGGAAAACTCAGTGATTGATAGGCAAGCTGAAAATGTAAATAAGAAAATATACTTAACACGATGTAGTGTACACTTAAAGTCCCTTTAAACATATTTTCTAAATCAACATTACTGTAAGCGAGGGTGGTAACATACCATACAAGTTTTATCAAAAACAGACTATATCATAATTTGACATCCTGATGAAGATGCCTGGAAACTTCACCTCCCGAGACTTCAAAAAAGTCCTTATTTTATATGTTCAGGTTCATTTATTTTATTGTGAATTGAATTTGTATATATGTTTGTAATCTTTACAAGTTAGTCAGCCATTGTTTCAGATGCATGTGAGCACCAATATACATTGTCTGGTTCTTCTTGAAGACTTATGTAACAGCAATATTTACATGTGTAACTAATGCAACAGATGTTAAAAATGTAGCTTATTTTGCTCACCATATTTCGGCCCAGCAATAGCAACTATAGGCAAGGCAAGTTTATTTATATAGCACCTTTCAACACAAGTTAATTCAAGGTGCTTTACAAAAATGAAAGACATTCAGACAAAGGCATTTAAAAACAGTCATTAAAAAGAAAAAATAATAAAAGAAACATTTAAAAGAAAAAATACATGAATAAAAAGTTACAGTGCAGTTTAAGATGTGAATAGTTCACACAGAAGTTCCATTTGACTGATGCCTTTCTTTAAGGTTTCTCCGAACATGAGCTGTGTACGCTTGTATGGCACATACGTCCCGAGCAGCATACACAGAGAAAACCAGCCAAGTCCCCAGACTCTGATTCCCTGGGGTTACTAGCCCCAAATGTTCATTAACCAAAAACGAAACACAACCGCTCAGTTTCAATTAAAAGCAGCGGCAAAAAGAAAAAAACTATAGGCAAAGAATTGGATGCAACTTGGAGACCAATACTGCCAAGCCATGCGTTCTACTGTCACTATGTACAGCCTGAGAAGGCATGTGTCTGAGGAACAATTCAAGATTTGTGTGACTGTAACACTATTTGAGATTTATAGACTGTCTGTGACATTTCAAGTTATTATGAAATATAACCGTGTTGTTGCAAATGCAGCACTAATTCAAGAGTTATCGTCCTGTGGAGAAAACGATACCGTACGTCCAAACTCTGTCTGCTTATAATCTGGATCTACAGCCCTCTTTTCGACATTCAATCACTAGCCTTGATCCTCTGGTTTGGAGGGCCAACAGCGGAGGGAAATCTATAAAGTTTTACATTCCTGGCCAGCTTTCCCCTTTGGCAGCGTACTATAGCTCCATCTAATACCTCACTTGAGGGTATGTAGCTCCTTCACGGCCTATTCGTGTAGCCGGAGAACAAACGCTGGATAAAGGAAATCCAGGCCGCTCTGATTCCCCTGCCAGAGGAACATAATGGCCTACAAAGTGCTGCTGTCTGTAATAGACTGGCTTGCTTGTGGTTTACAGTCAGCCTTAAATGAGACGAGCTGATTAGAAACATGAGAAGAGCGAGGCGATTAGACGGCATGACGAGTGTGGAGGCATGCCGGGGTTTACAGCTGCCTGAAACACGATCCATGGAGAAATAAAAGCAGGGTTAGAGGGAGAGGAGGCCAAGCACTCTTTATCTCGTGCCAGCCTGCTGCCTTTGATTCGCTAACATGGCACGCTTAGATCATCCACTATAGCCATGTGGAGCTTGTTAGCTCACCCTCAAATACTCAAGTACGGTACTTAGGTAACATTTTGAGGGAATTGTTTGCTGCTTTGTACTGCAGTTCAGAGATGCATGGTGTACTTCTACTCCTCTACAGTTCAGAGGTACATGGTGTACTTCTACTCCTCTACAGTTCAGAGGTACATGGTGTACTTCTACTCCACTGCAGTTCAGAGATGCATGGTGTACTTCTACTCATCTACAGTTCAGAGGTACATGGTGTACTTCTACTCCTCTACAGTTCAGAGGTACATGGTGTACTTCTACTCCACTGCAGTTCAGAGGTGCATGGTGTACTTCTACTCATCTACAGTTCAGAGGTACATGGTGTACTTCTACTCCTCTACAGTTCAGAGGTACATGGTGTACTTCTACTCCACTGCAGTTCAGAGGTACATGGTGTACTTCTACTCATCTACAGTTCAGAGGTACATGGTGTACTTTTCCTCCACTACAGTTCAGAGGTAGATGGTGTACTTTTCCTCCACTCCATGTATTTAATACCTTTAGTTACTTCACAGATGTGGATGAATGATGTGAAATATAATCAAGTGTTAAATCAGACTTTAGTTCCACCTGGAGTAAATCCACCAGCTACCCTGCAGTATACAAAGTCATTCAAACTAGCTGCACCTTCACCAGCTTTGAGAACACTTTCATGATCAATCATTATAAAACATATCATATATATTATTCTGAAATGGACCAATCTGCACAACGACTACTTTTACTGTCGCTACTTTCACTATATTTTGATGATAATACTTTTCTACTTTCACTTGAGGAACATTTTGAATGCAGGACTTTTACTGTAACAGAGTATTCCTACACTCTGGTACTTCTACTTTTACTCAAGTACAATATCTGAGTACTTCTACTTTTACTCAAGCACAAGATCTGAGTACTTCTACTTTTACTCAAGTACAAGATCTGAGTACTTCTACTTTTACTCAAGTACAAGATCTAGTACTTCTACTTTTACTTAAGTATAAGATCTGAGTACTTCTACTTTTACTCAAGAACAAGATCTGAGTACTTCTACTTTTACTCAAGTACAAGATCTGAGTACTTCTACTTTTACTCAAGTACAAGATCTGAGTACTTCTACTTTACTCAAGAACAAGATCTGAGTACTTCTACTTTTACTCAAGTACAAGATCTAGTACTTCTACTTTTACTTAAGTATAAGATCTGAGTACTTCTACTTTTACTCAAGAACAAGATCTGAGTACTTCTACTTTTACTCAAGTACAAGATCTGAGTACTTCTACTTTTACTCAAGTACAAGATCTGAGTACTTCTACTTTTACTTAAATACAAGATCTGAGTACTTCTACTTTTACTCAAGTACAAGATCTGAGTACTTCTACTTTTACTCAAGCACAACATCTGAGTACTTCTACTTTTACTTAAATACAAGATCTGAGTACTTCTCCCACCTCTGCTTTCAATGTACTCCCCCCAACCGTTTTATCTGTCACTTATAAATCTACCAAACGGCTTGAAATGAAAGAATCCTGGAGGTGTCTTTTCATATCTCGACCCTGCCACTTTAGGCTTGAAGGTTTTGCCAACGCTTTGAATAAAGTTCAGCCAAGTCCTCGCCTTTGAAGTGGTTAGAGGGGTCTTTTTTTCTAGGTACAGGTGGGGGTGCATTCGCCTCGAGGCCAAACCTTGGAAAGAGGCAAGGCAAATTCCCCGGGCGCTTGTTGAATTCGCTCAGACTACATCAGGTACGAGGCTTCGGGGGGGCTTTCTGTCTCGGTAAGAATGTGAGTCAGGTTTCCAACTCAATGCCAAGGTGAAGCAGATCAAACCAGACTGCTTGTTTTGGGGAATGTGAAGGTAGTTTAGGGCCAGATTCATTGTTTTTCTTTTTTCCATTTAAGCAACATGTTGAGGCGGAGGAGAGATGCCAGAGGGAAGAGTCGCCTGTCTGATGAGCAGCTTTTCATCACATGATTTAATACGACTGTCAGCTGCTGGAATCCCGCAAACTTTGATAATTATTGCGGCAAGACCATGCCCATATCCACAGCCATTTATATTAAAATAAGACCGACTTCTTCAACCACCGACTGTCTGAAGATTCCTCAGCATTCCTCAGACGCCAGGGTTTATATCAGCGATCCTTTGATATCACGTAATGCCTCCAACGTCCATTCAACAGCTGTATCATCCCTCTGCAGATATGCTTTGATCTAGCTTCGCAGCGTCTTCCATTAATGCCTCTTAATAGTTTATTACAGTGTGTGTAAACTACATTTTTGCCGGTTTTTAATTGCTCTCTGTGATGTTATACAGGGTTTAACAAGGGGTCATAAAACACGTTGTAATGTCTATCTCATGAGCATTTCAATCTCATTTTCAAAGCACAAACAAAATCCAAAGTCTTTTAAACAAGTACTTTGCAACCACATGACTGCATTAAGTATGAAGTATGACCATGCAGTAAATCTGGAGTTCTCCATCTCCCCTTTTACCTCATTCACACCAACGGTGTTTCAGGGCCGGTTCGGAGATGGAGCTTGAAAAGCACCGGGTTTTCCTCTTCACACCGCAGCGGAGCAGCCTCTTAGCTCCGGAATCCGGTTCGTTTCAAGCACCAAAAAATTGTCCGGCTAGAGCAAAAGCACCACATACGTCACGCTTACGTCGAGGTGGGGGCATGGGCGGGATCAACTCCTGAACAACAACAAGAAGCCCGCGTTTTATCCAGCTTGTACACAACGATGGAGAAACTTAACAAGCAGCAGTGGTCCACTGAAGAGACCTACTACTTACTGGGAATCTGGTCTTCCGAAGAGGTACAGAGGAAGCTGGAGCACAATCGGCCATTGCTGTTGTTGTCGGTGTCAGCTGTGAGGGGTTTCCGCGCGGTTTGGCTTTATGAAGCAGGCACGCAAACGGTTACGTCATGACGCAAACGATGACGCAATGACGCAGCACCAGTCGGACTCTGGGCAGTGTGAAAAGAGCCGGAGCTAAACCGAAGAACCGGTTCTGAACCTGAAAAGCTCTAGCACGGAGCTTGAACCGGAGTTGCGTTGGTGTGAATGAGGTATTTGTTACTTTTTGAATAGCATAAGGAATTAATGAATTGGTTTATCAGTACCAAGACCAATGAACAGCTAAAGTTAAACCAATTTCAACTGTCCTCGCACGCTTTGATACTTCGTTGTGGGGGTGATACAATACGACACAATACAAGGATCCAATATGAAACGAGACAATTGAATGCTGTCAGATCAAGTATGAACTTTTTCTTGCATTACAGCAGCTCCATTTACAGCATCAATAAGGACAAACATTAAAGAAAAGAAACATACGATACTACACGATCCTTTTGTGAGGTTCATATGATACGATGCGATACGATCTACTTTGTTGTCCCCGTAAGGAAATTCGTTTTTAGCAAGATACAAATCATACAACATGATAAAACACATTAACAACGCAATAGATGAGAGTAACAAATGCGTCACTTCCGGGCAAAAATAACGGCTCCGCCCACTTTTGGGGGAAAACAACGCTGTCAGTTGAACGTCGGTCAATACAAATTCTGAAGTTTTTGCCAATCCGATCAGAAATGTAAGAAAACCGGAGATTTTTGGATCTTCAAAGAGCCCGATTCCAATGGCCAGACAGGCAAACAATTGCATTAAGCCATTAGAAATCGACGATCGGGCTCGATATATGGTTAAATATAGCAGTAGGCGATCGATGTCCATAGATGAGAGTAACATCTACGTCACTTTACGGCCCCGCCCACTTTTGGGGGAAACAACGCTGTAATTTGAATGGCGATCGAGCCTGAAGCCACAGAGCTCTTCCTTTACTGTCCTTTCTTCTTAGAGGAAGTTCAGAAACACTGAACTCTGGATTTGTTTTAATGTTTGAGGTGCAATAAACGACACAGCAGCTTTTTGGCATGATAAAACTATTATGTTCCGCCTCGCTCATGAGAGTAACAGCTGGAGAAATTACAGCCTCGCCTACTGATTTTAATTTAACCATATATCAAGACCGATTGTCGATTTCCAATGATCGAATGTAATTGTTTGCCTGACTGGCCATCGTAATCGAGCTCTTTGAAGATCCAAAAATCCACGGTTTTCCAACAAATTTGATCGGATTGGCAAAAACTTCAGAATTTGTATTGACCGCCATTCAAATGACAGCGTTGTTTTCCCCCAAAAGTGGGCGGGGCCGTAATTTTTGCCCGGAAGTGACGTAGGTGTTACTCTCATCTATACAATACTTTAGCAATAAGACGGTAACGCTATCCTATCGTCTGGCCATTGTTGAGATCTATCCTCATGTGTGCTCTGTCAACAGACTAGCATGGTTTGACATCATTTACATGAGACTGAGAGGACAATGACGCCTGCAAGCCCCCCATCCCCTCGCAAAACATTAGTTTCAATACACTTAAGCAGCAATACCAAAACTTTGAGTGTTTAAATGCTTATTAGACTCAAGTTATTCTTTCTCTCTTTGTTGAAGTGCTACTTTTCCCTCCAACTGTCATTATTTGTCTGAAAGTGACGCAGGTTGTTTTGTAGTGGTGTTCATTATACGTTTCAATACACCTATTACGTAAGACAACGCTAAAGTCTTTGAGTGTTTAAACTTGCTTTGCAGACCCAAATGCTTCTTTCTTTCTTTGAAGTGTTTCCCTTCCCTCCATCTCTACGGGTAAGACATTTCTTGGCTGGTTGGGCTCCTTTCGTGGCTCAGAATGATCAGTTTGTGAAGTTAACAGATGGATTTTTCTTCGAACAACCATCCATAGCCATTGTCACATGAAGCTGGGAAATTGTTAACGACGTGTTCTTCTCCATGCCGAATCCTATCAGCAGGCTAGTATCTAAAAGTCAGTCATTGTTAGTCTGAAAGTGACGAAAGTTGTTTAGTAGTTGAAGTTGAAGTGTTCATTTTCCATCCAACTGTTAAATATTTATATTAATGTTCCCAAAACTGTATGAGTGAATCATTTCTTGGCTGGTTGGGCTCCTTTCTGATCAATGCCTCGGTCAGATTAAGAAGTGTGTGTGAGGTCAGCGGATGGATCTTTCTTCTAACATGATGTCATTGCTTACGTCTTGTCAGCACCCTGGTATCTAAAAGTCACTCGTTGTCTGTCTGGACGAAAGTGACGAGAGTTGTTTGTAGTGTTCGTGTTGTCTGTGTACATTTTCATGCTTTTATGTGATGTACAAATCTGTCAGTGTCTCCCCACATGAGTAACAAAGTAGCCCGGCCCAGTTTGTGTGTGTGTGTGTGTGTGTGTGTGTGTGTGTGTGTGTGTGTGTGTGTGTGTGTGTGTGTGTGTGTGTGTGTGTGTGTGTGTGTGTGTGTGTGTGTGTGTGTGTGTGTGTGTGTGTGTGTGGCCTAGCATTGCCATCCTTGTGGGGACCTAAAACTTACACAGTCACGTGTGGGGACTGGCTTCCCTTATGGTTTAGGGTAGGGTTAAGGGTTAGGCATGTGTTGGTTATGGTTAAGGTTAGGATAAGTCTCCAGGAAATGCATGTAAGTCAATGTAATGTCCCCTGAAGTGATGTGTGTGTGTGTGTGTGTGTGTGTGTGTGTGTGTGTGTGTGTGTGTGTGTGTGTGTGTGTGTGTGTGTGTGTGTGTGTGTGTGTGTGTGTGTGTGTGTGTGTGTGTGTGTGTGTGTGTGTGTGTGTGTGTGTGTGTGTGTGTGTGTGTGTGTGTGTGTGTGTGTCAGAGTGTTTACGTTGGACCCAGCCCACCATTTGAACAAGTCGCTGCCTGTTGTGTTATTCTATCTGTGAGCGGCTGACAGAGGGATTTCCAAAGGTGGCGGGAACAGGTCGTCTAATTTTCTTTTTTATTTGTCTGTTTTCGAACAGAGATTGCTCTAGTGTAAATATTTAACTTGGAGGGAGATTTCACACTTAGCACGCACACTTTGTGGACACACTGACCGTCACCTCTGTTCAGGCCTTTCTTTGTTTTGGAGGTTTTTCACCAAGTCTGGATGTTTTTCTGCTCACAAACACAAATACTGTCAAATCAGCAGCGTCTGGGAAATGTATGTTCTCCAAAGAGATGATGAAAAACTAAATATTTACCATAGAGAAGGCCTGTATTTAAATTCAGACTGTGTTTATACAGTATCTTATGCTTTACTAAACCATGGCAACTAGGCAGCAGAGGTTGCGTTAACCGAATATTTTCCCTCAATGACGGATTTTTTCTAACAATGACGGAAAAATCTGAAAGCAGTCCGTCATTTTGACGGATTAGAACACAACTCGGAACAGCGCTAAAATGTCCACCAGCGGCCCACATTATATTACATCCTTAGTGGCCAGGTAGACTGAGGGCGATCTACTGTACTATTGCAGAATGTAACTATTATTTAGTCATTCACACCCCTGTCCAGTTGGTGGCGAGTGTGTGTATATTAAGTAGCTATTGTCTAGTCTTGTTTTTGACCTCGTTGATTACCTCGTTGTTTAACCGGCTTTACCAATCGCAAAATGTCACGGCATTAAATAGGTCTCATCTCATCATTAAAACATGAAAAATAAAATGACGGGTAATAATGGATTATGACGGAAATGTTACGATCCTGTCCGTCAACGGACAACGAAAAGTCTAACGCAACCATTGCTGTCTTTTTTTATGATTTTAAGATCAATGTGAAGTAGTAAAGTATTACAGATTTGTTGGATGAACCAATAACAGACCAGTTAATTGCAGCTAATTGCTTTTATACATATGTTAATACGTTTGTTTTTTAAAAGCAAACTACAACCACTTGCACATTTTTATGGAAAGTTTTCATAATTGATGTTTCATTTGATCCCATTCACAGTTCGTCCACTCGACTGTGTTTATGTACAATAAAATCATTTAGTTTGCCTTTAATTTAATTAGTTTTAAATTCATAACTAAATAAGGGTATAACGTACATCAACATGATCATATTGTATTCATAAAGACATGTATTAACAATGCATAATGTTAGAGCCAGTATTTTGATTTGATAAGAAAGGCCACCTAATTGTGACGTCTGTAGTCAACGCACTATAAAGGACTACAATTCCCACAGCGCCTGTGCTAACGCCACAGTGATGGGCAACCTGTTGAGAGACGCCGACGAGGAACAGTTTTTAACCGTACTCAATCGTATAACCGTACATACAAACCGTACAAGTACCCTTTAAGTTGTGAAGTTATCAAGAAAGAAAGAATACCTAAGTTGTGTTGTTTTATTTGAGTTTTGCCTATTTCTTTTGAATATTGTAAAGGCCTATTTTTCTTTGTTGCATGTGCAA